ATTTTAGGGGGGTGTGGCAGAGTCTTAACTTTGATAAAGAATATCTCTTTGGTTTTGAGACTTTAGTCTTGCAACTTCAGGGATCTTATCTATGCACAATCAGCTTGTAACACTCCAAAGAGAAAGGAAAACTTGAAATCGCATCATATGACCCCTTTAAATCAGCCTTTATATTGCTTACATTTAGGATTATTGACTTTTTGTAAGTATTAGCTGTATAGACTACAGACATGAATGAGAACTCAAATTGTGTTTTGAGGAAAGGTCTACTGATACTTTTCTAAGGTATCAAACTAATAATTTTTGCCTGACAGACAATAAAATTGCAGAAAAATGTCAGTAATTAGGTCATACATAAGGTGGACTCTTTTGACTTCAAACAGTAAGCAACTTGCCAGACATACTAGAACAGTGGTTCTCAACCTTTTGGATTCCAAGGCCCTCCTGTGTCTGTGACAATATTTGAAGGCCAATATTCGGAGCTCTGGTTGAGAATTGCTGACCTAGAACCAATAGTAATGTGCTGAAAACCACCAGCTGCAATACTTGTTTACTTCAGAAAATTTAAAATTGTAGTCCTAATTCACCCTGACAGTAACATTTTGGGTGTGTAAAATTGACAGATTGTTGTTTATTCCGACTGTCAGTTTCACAGACCTTTGATTATGCCATGGCAGAATTTGTTGAGACAGATTATGCTGCATTTAGCCTGCAGTCTCACCCTGATAAATGTCTAATAATTACTTGACACACTTTGTTTTTCATTTGACTACACAGGTCAAAAGAGTTGGAGAGACAGTTACTTGAGTCATGTGAAGAGGATCTGCTGAATCTAGATGAGAATGAGAACAGTGAAAGTAAAGTGGAAGACATCTCACTTGAGCAAAGGTATTTTGTCCATACTGGCTTAATAGCTGGCTTCATTCTCATCATTTGTTTTTTTTTTTAAATCCAAACTATATTGAAGCCTTTCGGTGTTTTAAAGCAGATTATGGCAGTCAATTTAAATAAAAGTGTTTTGAGTTTGAATATATGTGCATAAATGTAGTTTGAATATATATGCTACTTTGTCTTATGTAGAATTTTGACAGTCTCATGAAAATGTATCATTAATCTGAAAAAAAAAAATGGTTTACTTTTTTTTTAGGGAAATTTTGCAAAGGTTCTCTGTCGCCTCATATGCCATCAGGGACATCCACCCAGGAGAGGAAGTATTCCTGCCTGCTAGGTTTGGTCGACTCTTCAACCACCAGACGCTGGACCTGAGGAAGATTACTGTGACTCCACATAACAAATCACAACAAATCCTCTTTCAGTAAGACTGCCAACATAAGTCATTTTTAGTTTTCTCTAAACTTCAGTTTTTGCTTATGGTAAAAGGTGTTTAAATATTATGTAGTGTCAAAATGTGCTAATTTTTTAAAAGTGGGAAAGAAACAAACAAATTGATTTAATCCTTCCATTTTAGTAATAGATGATACCTGTCTGATGACACCTTGAACCCAATATCAAATGTAGTATCACAGCAAGTTCACTTCTCAAAGAATGAGTAAAATAGGAGATGCATCCGTGATTATTTCTGTTATGTTCATTTGCAATTGGGCTTGGTGTTTTTTGTTATTAATATACTTTATTACACTTTGCAATATGAGCGTTTTGTTTTTGTCCTCTATAGGTCCCGTACTGAGCATGTGCTGTCTCTGATCAGTGCTGGCTTGTTGAGGAAAGCCTACTTTTCTTTCCCTTGTCAGCCTGAGGTTACACGCTGGCTTTTCCAGGTAAAACCACCCTCTTTCCTCATATTTTCTGTCCTGCAAAACACTGTGTGCTTAACACATGGATGTACTTTACAGTGGGCCAAAAAATATGGACAATTAATCTACACTTAAAAATATATGAATGCTACATGGTTTGAGATTTTGTTATCTAATGCAGTGCTCTTTTTGGGGCCACTGTATGTGTAATCTCATGTTGATCTCATCTGTTGATCAGTTTTTATGAGTTGTATTAAGTAATATATGCATTTTTAGCATTTCTTTTGTATTATATGGTTGTATTGAAGTTTTAGGTTCACTGTTCCTATGATATTTGTTTGACTCGTTGCGTTTTGTTCACACCATCTTATATTCTCTCATGGGAAACCTGTATACCCTTGGGACATTTATGTTTAAACCTGTCAAAACTTATACACTACAGTTGGATTATTTTTATGAGAGCTTATGCTTTTAGTACCCCAACATGCATACAACTTTGCAGACTCAACTAATATGGTCCAATAGCCAAAATGTATGTACAGCTAATAACTATAATGCTTTTTCAGATGATGTCAGTTTACCCAAACCCAATTATTTCCTCACACATCATGCAGTCCTTGCAAACCATTGCTCTGTCTGCTGCTCAACACATAGGTATGCTTGAAAGACCTCATAATGGCCAAATATGCTGTTCCTGTACAACCGATAAAGCACTAAAATTGACTGTTGTGTTATAGTTGAACACCAGAGCCAAAGTTTTAAAGTGTGGGTACCCTCTGTACGGGACATCACCCTGGTTTTCCTGAACATGGGGGCATCATTCATCAGTCTGTTCCCTCTTGAGGCTCTGCAACCCCCTTTTACTGAGGGAGACCTTTTGTGAGTTTTTTACCTCTTAGTCTGCAGCATTATACTTCTGTACTAGTCATATGTTTTTGTCATTCAGCATATTTGACCTAAGCCATGATTATACCAACAGCTTCAAAAAAATGCTAAGTTGGTATTTTAATGCATATGTATGTGTTGGCAGAGAGAGCTTTCAGCCAGAAGAAACCAGCCAAGACCGAGTGATATCTGACATGAAAGACAATGGCACATTACCAATACATAATTTGGAGAGTGTTCTCAAGGTAAGCTGAGTATTTTAAGAATGTGTTTGTCATGTATTGAGTAGTAGGGAATTTTTCATTTGTTTAACGATAATTTAGCTTTAAACGCAATAGTAAGTGTCAGTCTAATTTACGCCTGTATTTTTGTCTTCATTTGTTCAGTACCTCTCCCTGTGTACTGCATTGTGTCCAAGAGCGTACACTGATGAGGAGCTGCTCTTGCTTCTGTCGGTGGTGTGTAGAATTGGACTGGAGACTCATTTTCAGCTGCTGCCAACTGGACACTTAAGCATCCTGCTCCAGAATCTGCTTAAAAATATCACACACTGGGATGTACAGGTCAGAAAGAGTGTGTTTAATATTCATATTGCCCAAAAATGAACATTCTGTCATCATTTACTTGCTCTCATGCCATTCCAAACAATTATCAGTATCAGTGTTTTTATACAATGAAAAATAAGTGCATTCGTCTTTTGTGCTCCACAGTTAAAACAAAATGATTTTTATTTTTAGGTGGACTACCCGTTAAGTATTAGTTTATCATCTTCTCACATTTAACACAGATTTCCCTTTTTTTCTGTGTAGATATCTAAAGCTTGTCAGACCCTGACTGATTTGTCAGAAGATCATCACAACCTCAGGAGACTCATTTATCTTCTTCCAGATAGCAGTTGTGGAAAGTAAGTGAAAACCTGTAATGTAATATAAATATTTATTGTACTACATTTTTTTTTTTTTTTTTACTTTTAAGTGCCTTCTGTAATTGTTCATCTGCTATTTCTTTAACAGGCAATTAAAACGACACCTGAGTGTATCTATCATCTCAAAGCTTTTGAATCACACCTGCACTTATAAGCCCTCAGGGACAGAGTTTAAGGTGAGAATAATCCATAGAATATTAGCGGCTTCCCTTTCATGGGAACTTCGAACTGCGTCCCCTAGGGGTCGCTATGGGGAACGCCTCGTCGTGACCCGTGTCTGAAGCATACATTGAAAAAACACCAACTCGTTGGCCGGCGACAGCCATGACGTCACTACCGGTGCGACTATATGCTTGAAAAACTTTAAATCCAAATACTATGGTAAGTGCACACGTTAAGCTTTGTGCACTTTTCTACAAATCCACATAAGTGGTAAGTGCGCATGTTATGCTTTGCGCACTTTCTAAAATCCACATAGCTGGTAAGTGTGCACGTTATGCTTTGCCCACTTTCTAAAATCCACATACTCAGGGAACCATGGTTACATAAGTAACCTGAGACGTTTTCAATGTTTAGACAGTTTAGCACTATAGATGCTTTAAGGGTTTTGATGAGTGCCATTATGCAGGTGTATCATCCACAGACTACACTTGGCTGGCCAAGCTTTTGTCAAACTACTTTCATTTTTGAAGATATGCACAAAATTAATCTTTGTTTCTATGACTATTTTTCCAGCTGTCTGAACTGACACCTTTCCTACATCAAATGCGTCCCTCGTCCCTACTGAAAGGCCTCAGGTCTGCAAGGAGAGCAGAAGATTGTGATGCCAATCTAGACCAACAAGTAAGCAAAAAGTCGTCTGAGGGCTGAGAGCTATTGGATCATTACTTTTTTAATATCCAAGAGTGATACAGTAAAACCACTTGTTTGAGTTTAATAAGCTGATAAATGATCTTCTTTCATACAGGCATATTACCTCTGCTACAGCCTTTTGACTTTGACAAATGAAGCCTCCAATTTTGAGTTTTTACCTTCAGCTCAGAGAGTAAGTGTTCAATTTCTGTTTTTATATTATTGTATAATAAGGGAGGAAATCTTCACAATTTGATTACATTCCAATTCCAAAACTGTTCTCAATGTATCTTAATTGTCAGTGTTATGTGTTTTTTATGTTTGGTCCAACATATGCTTTTTCATCCAGCAGAATTATTGATGATGGACTTAGAAATTAGAATTTTGTGAGTCGATTCAGAAGAATCGAGATGCTCTGTGAATACATTTAGATATAAAGGAGCAGTGTTAATGAATCAGTCACATAAAGACCCTGTCACGCTCACCCTCGGGGATCAATTATGAACATAACTAATTTTACTCTTTAGAAAGCAGTACTTGTGTGAATTGAAGCGAGGGATGATTTTACTGACTAGAAGCATGTTGACTGATTTTTTTTTTAATGAGAGGAACCATAATTTTAACAAAACAGTCACTGTTACTAATTAGGTTTACATTTTTTTTAAATTAAAGTATAGTAAAAATTTTTTAAATAATATCAACTACATGAACACAAGGAATAATGATATATTATAATTTTTGTTTTTAAATGCACTAAAATTATTAAGTAAGTTATGGTCATTATGGCAAAATAAACCCAACAAGACTTGTCAGGTCTTGTATCATCCCAAAGGGGCTTATTTCGTGATAAAGACTGACGGACTGTCCATTATCTTACAACTGCTTGCCAAACAATTAATATATAATAAACAAATCTTTGAATCGATTTTTGAATCAAACTTACCCATTTCTAATGTTGTTTTTGCTGTGTTAAATCCCAAGTGCACAACAAAAGCTTACTGCGACAGGTCTTAATTTATTCCCTCAATATTGTATGAATAAAGTAAGGCACATCTGACTGTGCCTTAGTCTTTGTCTTGTCAGTATTGTTTTATATCACAATTGTATTACTTAATTAGACTAACTTGAGCCCTCTTTCACTGCCAGAAGGATCTGCAGAGTCTTTCTTCTCAGCTGGAGAAGCACATTAAGTGTGACATAAGGGAGAGTGAGAAAATGCTGTATAGGAGCAAGGTGAATAGCAGCTTCATTCTGTTCTCTGAGAATTCCTTTATATCAAAAGAGATCCAGATTTTTATTGACAGTGTGATTGGCTTTTTTTCTGTAGGTGAAAGACTTTGTGGCAAGGATATACACCAAGTGGCAGGCGCTTCTAACACGAACAAGGCCTCAGGAGGTAATGTGAAAGAATACAGTCAACTGAAGAATACAAGAATACTGTTAACTGATGCTGATAAAAGCTGTTGTGTGGCTGTGAAGGCCACATTTTGTATACAAGTGTTTTCGCAATTTAAGCAGAATGAATCCATGTCATAACTAGAGCCCGACCGATATGGGTTTTTTGGGTGCCAATACCGATACCAATAATAGGGAGTAAAAAAAGGCAGATATCGATATAATGGTCGATATTCTTTGTGTATATTATATTACAGTACCAGTCAAAAGTTTGGACACTTTCCCATTCGTGTGTCCAAACTTTTGACTGGTATATAAAATACAGTATATACATAAACAGAATATATATACATAAACACATTTTTTGCAATGATCACTGAAATGTGGTGATCAAACACTTATAATGGCGTGACAAAGATATGCAATGTAGGAAGGGCATTTAACAATTTAACAATAAACTTTATTATCCAAAATGAGTCTGACATCAGTGCACTGAACAGTAAAGTTGAAGTTTATGCAACTTAATTTCAATTCAATTCCATTCAACTTTATTTAATTGAAGTTTATTTCACTTCTGGACATTCATTCACGGATTTGTGCTAATGTCTTCACACACAGATGAAACTTACTAGAGAAGTGTGACATAATATACCTCTGTAAATAAATAAAATTTAAATTCACCTCTCGCGCACTTTAATGCCCTTTGAATGTAACGTGTACGTTCCCTTGGAACTAGAATCATGGCGGAATATCATGTGAAGTCCACTTCGCAGGGCACTTACTGTTGAATAAGACAATGCTTGAATGCTTGAACAAGAGACCTCCTTACTGAAGTAAAAGTGTTGGCTGGTGTCACTATCTCGCGAACGCGGCGGTGTCCCTTCATCTCGAGGAGCCCTCTCGAACGCCACACTCCGTGCGTCGATAGCCCCCCGGGATTGCCAGATCGGTCGGCGCCCGACCGTGAATTTAACCGCCCGTAACTCCCGGACCCCGGGGGTTATTGACATGGGGGTGGTCTCATTCGAAAGGGGGCCTCGAGACGTTTCAGTGGTATTCCATACACTTAAAGGGATAGTTCACCCAAAAATGAAAATGTGATGTTTATCATCCAAGATGTAGGTGACATTATTTGGAACCTCAGTTGAACAAAAACAGTGGCGATCTGACAAAAACAAAACGGTCTCAGTGACGTGTGCTCTGCATTTATCCCATCCAAAGTGCACACACACAGCAGTGAACACACACACACCGTGAACACAC